CAAGAGTGGGAGGTAGGATGGGGTTGGAATCTCTGCTCATCCTCTGGGCAACTCTGGCAGCTACACCCCTGAGACAGGCTGATGTGCTCAGTATGTTAGGATCAGCTTCAACTGGGAGTAACAGAAAAACCCCAAGCAACAGTGGCTCAATCCAGACAGAAGCTTATTTCTCTCTCAATTTCCAGACATGTGGAAATAGTCTGTCCAAAGCTAGTATGGCATCCATGGTGCCATGGACCCAGGTCACATGCCTCCTTTGCTCTACTGAGGGTGGCTTCCATTCCCAAAGTCATCTCATGGGATCATCAAGATAGCTGCTGAACTACAGCCATTACATGTGCATTCCTGCCAGCAGGAAGAGGTGAAAGAAGCAGCTCTCACTTTCTCCACAGACACTTCCTAGAAGTTGCACCCTCTACTTCCACTTCTATCCCTTTATCACATGGTCACAGCAAACTGCAAAGAAGGCAGAAAAATGCAGACTTTATTCCAGGTAGCCATGTGCCCAACTGAAAGGTAGGGTTCCAATTACTGAAGGAAACAGGGAGAACAGGGATTGGGGACCCACAAGCAGTCAAGGCGGCACTAAGTCACCAGTGAGTCCACATGCACAGTGGCTCCTCACCTTGCCATGTGCCAAACGTCCAATCCTCCTTCCACCCTGCTCCTGACACAGTGTCTGGCTCACCCCAGGTGACCAATGAAGGTTTGCTGAATGACTGAACAAATGAAGTAGACTTTTCTGGGTTGTGTATTGTTTTCCCAGATAAACTGGAAGTAGTTAGAAGCAAGGACCCTGTCTTAGGTGTCTGTATTAACCTCTGCCGTTCTCCTCTCTACCCTCTAGGCTCCAGGCACACACTGCTAGACACATTCAGGCCAAGCATGGCCCTAACTCTTCTCTTTCTACCCCTTCCCAGACACTTAGAGAAGGCTATCTGTTGCTGACATAGGGCTAAGGCCACTTTGGAGGGAGATGCTTTAAAAGTCCAATACAACAGCCGTTTCTAGACAAGGCCTGAGCAAACTGATCTATTTCCCCAAAAGGAAGGCGTTTAAAAGGATTAATATGGGAAAAAATAAAATTAAAATAAATAGATGACCATCAATATGGAAATCGTTCATCATTCTTTATTTAATAATTATTTACTGACCACCTAATATGTGCCCAACACTCTGCTAGGCAGTGATGAATCAGTGGAGAACCAGACAGTGATGTGGTCCTTGCCCTTATGGCACTTAGTCTCTCAGGTAAGGTTGACATTAACTTAAAGGTATCAGTGCAGATGAATGAATAACTATAATCTATGAGGAGAAAATACAGGACACTTTGAGGACTTATTGTAGAAAGGAACCCAGCCTGTGATGTCTAGGAGGCTTTCCTATGAATGTGGAAGCCACATTTGACACACCCTCAGAAGAATGATTTGGAAGCTTCCAATGCATAGAAAAGGCATCATGTTCCAAGCAGAAAGAACAGTGTGTGCAATGGCCCTGAGCAGAAGGAAACGTGATGTGAGCCGAGTGCTGAAAAGCTTGCACCACTGAGTCAGAGCACAGGACACAGTGGCCAGGAGGAGTCCCGAGAGGTGGGTGGAGGCTGAGCAGGCGCAGGGCTTGGGCTTTATCCCAGGTGTCAACATTAGAGGCTCTTAAGTAGGAGAATAACCGAATCTGATGTACATTCTTAAAAGTGTGCTCCAGTAAGAGGCCCAAGGGAATCATCTGTGATGCAGGAAATGTTCTATATTACAAGTATGAACCTAAGTAGAAATCCATCAAGCACTTTCTGCATTTTATTGCATTTATGTTATACCTCAGAACAAAGGAGACTGATTGGCCCAGGCCCAGCAGAGAAGTGCCATGACTGGCAGGTCCACCAGAACTACAGGGTTAGAGCTGGGAAGAACAGCTCCTGCAAAGAGGGGTACATGGTGGGAGTGGGAGGGTTCTTTTACCAGAAGAGGGCAGGGGTGGACAGACAAAGCAACTAATACCCATCAACATATGCAAAGAGGTGGCACAATGGCTGGCACAGTGGCTGGCCCATGCTCAGCCATGCTGGTCCTCATCCCTCCCACCCTTCCTCACAGGGTACTGCTCCCAAAGGCCTCCTCCATTCCTACCCATTTATACCCAGTCTCCTTGGCCCTCATCCTGAGCCCACTCTAGAACCCTTCTACTAAAGGGGATCATGAACCATCTTAGCCCAGATAACTTTGGGCAGCCAGGGCAAAACGTTGGAAAGACAATACATGAAGAGTGGTCCTCAGATGCTTGGAAGACTCATCATTTCATTCCTGGAGGGCAAGGAGGGAGGGGAATAACGCCCAGCTCATCTTGAACAAATATGGGCTTTGACACATGTGGACTTCCTAGAAAACTGAAATTCAGTCCCATAGGACAACAAGCTTTGTTTTTTAATGTCCATCAAAAATGTCAATGCATATAGATACACTTTGAGCAATTCCAGGAATTATTTAGCTATCCTCATCATGTGTAATATGACCTGTATCCAAAGATATTAAGTATAACATTGCTGTCAAAGCAGAAGATTGAAGAGGCCCACCAACTGAGGATGGGCTAAATGGATTGTGACACCCCTTCTGTGGAATTATGAAATATTATGCGGCTGTGGAAAAGGGTAAGGCAGCAATTTACATATCGATATGGAATAGATGTTGAGTGAATGGCAAAGCAAAACAGAGAATCCCGCGTGTAGTATAATGCCTTTTGTAAAACATAATTATATGTGTTTGCACCTAAGGAATTGTATATACCTTAACTCTACCTGGAATAAATTATAAGAAACAGGTAATACTAGTTATCCTCTGAGAAACTGGGTGGCTGGTGAGGAAGGAGGCCCTTTGGGGTTTTCAAATTGTATACATTACCTATTCAAAAAGAAAAGCAAGGTTAAAATTTTTGAACAATGTAAAAAATACATACAAAGCAACAAAAATCTCATATTGTACACAAGAACAGTCTATGCATCCAGACACCACTTCCATCACTTACAGTGCAACCTTACGCAAAGCCTGCACACAGAAAATAGGGGTTTTAATACCTTCCTCACAGGATCACTGGAAGACTGGAATGTAGTGATGCACAAGATCTGCCATCAAGTAGGTATCTAAGGAATGTTATCTTCCATCCTTCCCCAGTGTCATCTAAACAAGGATTAGATGTTCAGCTCTTGCATTTTTTAAATACTGAAAAGCAAATGGGATGGTGCCTCCTGAATGCTCAGGTCCTAGATCACAGTAGATGCACAAACCTGGAAAGGAAGGAGGGAGGGAAAGGGAATTCTCCCTGGAACTTTCCCGCTTCTCTCTGAGCAAACACCTGGAGAACAGAAATTCCAAGAGGCTCTCGATGGAGACTTTGGCTACCCCCAGCATGCCCACCACTTGGGACAAGGCCTGATAAGCCCGTGGCTGGCTTCTAAGAGGACTGAGTGGGGTACAATTGACAATATTGACTTGGGGCCTCAGTGGGCAGTAGATCCCTGTCACTGGGTGCTGCACCTGCTCCTGGGACCCTACAAGAGGCCAATCTCAGCAACAGAGGGCAGAAGGATGGTATTGTTTTATGAAATTTTTGTTTGTAGGTAGTGATAAAAGTGAATTTCCTTCTGCTAAGCTGCTGCAAAAATAGAGAGCCAGCACTCTGGATAGTGGTACTGTTCATTTTATCATTGAAGAGTGAGGTCCTTCAACGTGACAAAGTTCAGAACCAGGCCCTGGCCCAGGGACTGGGTAGGAGGGGTGAGAGGTGGAATGCCTGGGCTGTCTGGAAGTAGCCACACAAAGATGGGCAGCAAAGGAGGTAGCAGTTCAGGCCCTGGGTGGGAGCTCAGGGGCTGGGCAGCTGAGGGCCCAGGACCAGGAGCCCTAGGAGACCTCACAGCAGGGCCAGAACCTGAGCTTCCTGCCCAAGGCTGTCCTAGTACTATACCCTCTGCATGTGTTCATTTATTCTCACTCAGTGTTTCAGAAAGTTTCAAAGTACCGCAATCTCAGCCACACTCTATAAGGCCTTGCCCACACTGAGTCTGGTGCACAGGGGCCAGCACGTCTGCCTAAAATTCCATGGTGCTGGCAGTGGAGCCAAGTTCCAGGGACAAACTGCTCCAACCAGCTGTGTCAACCTCTGGTCCTGCCCTAAACCTTGAAGACTGTGACAGGAGACTGTGTTTCAACAGACAGGTGAACCCCTTTACATACTTCACAGAAGCTGTACACACCCATCTACACACAGCACACCCTCCACATGCAAACACAGAATGCACACGCCCTGTACACACTCAGCTGTGTATATGATACAAGCACTGCAAACAAACCGGGAGAGAGGAGGTGGCAAGGAATAATGCAGGGTGGGTGCAGCCCTGAGTGAGGCTGTGAAGAGCCCATTGATCAGTGCCAAGTCCTGTACTGTATTGACTTCTAGACTGTTGCTGCACCCAATCGCTGGGAACGGACTCTAGGTCTCTGAAGGGATGGGAAAACCAGCAATCCTTTGTCCCCAGCTGCAAAGGAACCAAGAAGGTAAAAGGACATTTCTGGCCACCAAGGAAACGCCATGTGCCCAGCTGTACAGGCTTGAGAATTGGACAGGCCTAGGTTCAAATCTGAACGGCACCTTCTGGTTAGGCTAGAGTCTTGTTCTCTCCCAGGCTGGCTTTCCTCACTTGCAGATAGTCCCGAAATGGACCCCCTGTGAGGTCTGTGGAGAGGAAACTAGACCTCTCTCCTGATAACTGTGTGATACCTGCTCAGCATACCCCACAGGGTTTGTCACACAGATGAAATGAAATGGAGTACTTCAGAGCATACTAATGACCAAGCCATCAACCAACTTTTTCAATAAAGAAGTCTCTGGGAACAGCCTGGAGGCCAGATTTTGCTACCCATTGCCCCCTACTTCCCAGGCCCCTCAACTTCCAAGCCACAGGAGGTCTCCTACCACATCTCCCACTTTGTGGACAAAGGCCGCACACACCAAGGAGGGCTGGCAGAGCCAGCTGAAGCTTTATTTTGGAAAAGACACTTGAATTGGCTTTAAGTCAAAAGCATGGCCAAGAGGGTTGTCCCAGGCAGTAGACTCCCCCCAAGTGTGGGCTGAGGCCTGGGGCTGAGCCTCAGGTGGGTCTCTTGTTCCCAGCAACCCCCTGCACAACTGCCTCCCCCACTGGCTCCGGGGCAGCGGCGGGAAGTGGGGGGCTGGGAGGGGCCACAGTGGCCGTTCACTTGGGTAGGATGTCAGATGACTCGGACACCAGCTTCCCATCACGCGTCTCGATCTTCTTCACAACCACTGCCTTGGTGGAGCTGGTGCGGCTGAAGGAGCTGGAGCTCCCGCCAGAGCCAAAGCTGGACTGGAAGGAGCTCAGGCCGTAGTTGAGGCCAGGGCTCAGCCCACCTGGTCAGGGACAGAGGTGGTCACATGAGTACAGAAGCCCACCACACACCAGGTTCTGTGCCCCTTCTCCCTGCCACTCCTTAAGAGTCCCCAAGCTGGGAATGGCCCTGGTTCTCTTCTCCAGGTTTATCAGGAACAAGCAGGAGCAGGGCAGGACAGAGCTTTGATATTAGCTATGTGACCTTAGACAAGACATTTCACTGGGTCCCGGCTTCCTCAGCTGTTCAAGGGAAATGTGTAGGCACTACGTGAAAAGTCTCTGACCTCCTGCCCTGCACCCCAGGGCCAGGACACTCACCTGAGTAGCCACTGCTTGTCTTGGTATGGATACTCATGTTCTGCATCCCAGATTCCAGTCTGTAGCCAATGGATACACAGGAGGGTGTTTAGGACCAACACCTGGCCCTTGTCCCAGGACAAAAGGACTCAAATCACACCCCATTCCACTCCAAGTCCCAAACATGGGGCACTATGGCCAGAGATGTTCACACTCACCGGCTCTCCTCGCCCTCCAGCAGCTTGCGGTAGGTGGCGATCTCAATGTCCAGGGCCAGCTTGACGTTCATGAGCTCCTGGTACTCACGCAGCTGCCGTGCCATGTCCTGCTTGGCTTGCTGCAGGGCAGCCTCCAGCTCGGCCAGCTTATTCTTGGCATCCTTGAGGGCCATCTCTCCACGCTGCTCAGCTTCAGCGATGGCGGTCTCCAGGGAGGGCCTCTGTGGGGGGAGAGGGACAAGTAAGCCAGTAAAGTGAAGTCTGGCTGCGTCCACCTCACCCACTGCCATCCACCTCTTTCCCCTCCCTTAGGGACCCCTCCCTGACCTATACTAACCAATTCCATCCAGCTCAAAGAAAATGCTACCTGGTGAGATTCAGGCAGTAAAACGGGCAAATACTGAGTAGCTTCCAGGCACTTCCCTGCACAAGCTTCTAATTGCACTGGATCTCTGCCTTCTAGACTTTCTTAAATATATCTTACCCTGATACATAAGACAGATAAAACAAAGCAGGCTTGGGGGACCCATCCTGGACCCCAACTTACCTGCCCCAGCACCCTTTGACTTGTCAGGGCCCAGGACCTCCCCAGCACCCCTCAGCTCCCCAACTCTGGTCTAGGTTTCCTTTCCTGACCCCCAGACCCATTACTCCTTCCTGCATTATGTCCTCTTATCGGAGGTGCCCGAGGGGCCTCTCCCACCCCAGGCCAGCCCATACCTGGCCTTTGAGGCTCTCAATCTCAGCCTGGAGTCGGCTGATATTCCGATTCATCTCAGAAATCTCGGTCTTCGTGCGGCGGAGGTCATCCCCGTGCTTCCCAGCCAATGTCTGCAGCTCCTCATACTGTGGGTGTGAGATGAGGAATGAGGCTGGAGAGTGGACCCCTGGAGCCCCAAGTGCTCTCCATCTCAGGGAGAGTAGCCTCTCAGCCAAGTCACCAGAGTCCAGGTCATCTCATGCCCACCGCCCTCCACACACACCATGGAAGGCCATCTTCCAGACCTCCGGGCACTAGGACACCCCCACATCCCCAGCACCCACTGGGCAGGCCAGCTCTCGGCAGCAGAGTGAAGTTTGAAATCCTGCTCCCTCCTCACGGACTAGGGCACAGAACTGGCCAGAAGGGGAGTGCCAGCCTAGTGGCCCTGCTCTTCACCTTTATCTGATACATGGTCTCAGCCTCGGCCCGACTTCGGTTGGCAATCTCCTCGTACTGGGCCTTGACCTCAGCAATGATGCCATCCAGGTCCAGGGAGCGGCTGTTGTCCATGGAGAGGACCACAGAGGTGTCTGAGATCTGTGACTGCAGCTCACGGATCTCCTACATGGGGAGGGGAGGTGATGAGGCCCTGCCTCTGCACACAATGAGCCCCTTCTGCGGGAGGGCCTTCCTCAGGGGAAAGTCAAGGGGGCCAGCCACAGAGCAGAGAAGCAGGCAGGAGTTAGGGCTGGGGAGAGGGCCAGGTTCCTGAAGAAGGAAGGTGAATCAAAGACCTGGAACTCAGCGGGAAGTAAAGAGGAAATGAGGCGAGGAAAGGAACCCTGGCTTTGGGTGAGTAACCAGAGGGGCTGAGCCCTTCCACACTCGGCTGCCAATCCTGAGCCCACAGCGGGCTTCCCACATGGCCCACAGATTCAGAACAAAGGCTCGGGACAGAGCAGCCCCGAGCGGCAGCTGGGGCGGTCCTCTGTGGGTGATACCCTTGGATGGGCTATCTCAGTTCTTGAGCCCATTTTCTCATCTGTGAAATGGGGTAATAAACCCTCCCTCATGCAGGGGACAGAGCAGAGAATGTCCATGCTGGGTCAGTACAGGTAGCTAGAATGATTCAGAGGTGGGCCCTTCACTGCTGGAGTGCCGGGGGCTGGGGGCGGGCCTCTGATGGAGCTGGGGCACCTGAGGCTCCAGCCCCCAAGAACATACCTCTTCATACAGGAGCCTCAAGAAGCTGATCTCGTCAGTCAGCCCTTCCAGGCGGGACTCCAGCTCTACCTTGTTCATGTAAGCTTCATCCACATCCTGGGCAAGGGGGTTGGGGCTGAGCTGAGTGCCTACACCCAACCCCAGCCCAGGGGCACCCGATGGCCTGGTCTAACTAACTGCCTTCCCCCACCCCACCTTGGGGCCTGATCCTCTAGCCCATGCGCTGCTGCATCACACCTGCATCCCAGCTCAAACACCTTTACTCAGCTTCCTGCAGCATTTGGGCAGTTGTCTCCCTCCTCATCCACCTCCTCCAGGAAGCCTTCTATGGTCAGACCTCCAATTCTATCACTCCATTTTCTTAACAATGTCCCAACAACCCTGTTCAGAGTCCTGTCCAAATGGACCTAACAACTCTCTGTCCTTGTCTATCTTTCTATGCCATATACCTAGGAGGCACCCAAATACTGTCCCATTACTTAGAACCATTTAAGGACAGAACCCCAAAATTCTCTTAATCCGAGTCTCTAAGCCCCAGCCTTCAATGCCTGGTAGGGGTAAGGGAACTCCCTCACCTTCTTGATGAGGACAAATTCATTCTCCATATCTGCACGCTCCTTGATCTCTTCCTCATACCTGTGAGGAAAAAACTTAGAATCAGAGGATGAAGGCAGAGGTGAGGTTGTCCTGGGTCTGTTGAAGGGAGAAAGACCATCAAGGAAATTCAGTTTGTGAGACAGCAGGACAGAGCAGTCTGGTCTGGTCTTTCCATACTACCCAGCTATCTTTCCCCACCCAACCCCATGCCAGCACCACTCGGCAGGAAGGCCAAAGCAGGAACTCTCTCCAAATCCACAAATATATATCAGGCATATTAGGCCTATTCAGAGGGTTAGCAACAGGGAACCAATATGACACCTCGGGAAGAACTTTCTCATGTGTGCTAGAAATCAATATAAGGAATAAATAGGGACCAGGGCTGTAAGTATACAACAGAGACTTGTTGGCTACCCATCTCTCTCATCTTAGGTTTACTACATAAACATTAACATATAATTTGTTGTCCAAATATGGACAGTTCTAAGATCAAAAGGAGTGAGTGCTATTAACAATTATGCCAGGACAACAGGTATAAACCTAGACGGTCCGGAGAAAATCTGGTCATAGGATCACCCTAATTATATAGGACTGCACTGCCCAAAAAGCAGTCTTGGGCATCTGGTCCCATGGAGTGGGGCAGGGCAGGATGACTTTGGAAGGGGGTGGAGGGAGGGGAATGGCTCACTTATTCTTGAAGTCTTCCACCAGCCCCTGCATGTTGCCAAGCTCCACTTCCAGCTTCAGCTTCTCTTGGCCCAGCGTGTCCAGCTGCCTTCGAAGGTTGTTGATGTAGCTCTCGAACATGTTGTCTATGTTACTCCGAGCCGTCTTCTGCTGCTGCAGGAGGCTCCACTTGGTCTCCAGAATCTTGTTCTGCTGCTCCAGGTGCCGTACCTGCAGGAGGGAGGAGGGAACAAAATGGTCCACTTGGGGCCAGAGCTCAGAGTCTGGGGGGAAGCAAGCACAGCCTTTTCCTCAATGCCTTCCCCCAACAGTGGGGTCTCCAGAACCCAGGGACCCAGTTAGCTGCCCTGGGAAGATCACCAATGACCTGTGAGAGACAGCACAGTTAGTAGGGTAAAGAACCGTGTCCCTCTAGCACTGGGCGGGGGACACAGGGGTACATGGTTGGAAGGGATCTGCTGGGAGAATTATATTGAAGCTATGTTTGCAGAAAAAATAAGTCTGACTTATTTACCAGCTTATATATTATAGTTCAATAAAAATAGCCAAGTTTTGATTAACACTTGATAAGTTTGAAAAAGAAAGTATAGATTGTTCATATCAAATCAAATAATATTATCATTTTTATTTGGAGTGACTTGAAGGAGTTCATACATATTATGGGGAAACTTCAGCCCTACAGCCTGGAGAGCACTAACCAGAAGACCTAGGTTTTAGCCAAACCTAGACTTAGATCTGTGCTGCAGAACCTTTAGTTGCTTTTCCTCGCTGAGCCTAGGTCTCCTCCACACTGCATGGCCTGGAGGAGCTCAGGCAGCCCCTTTCAGGAGCCCCATCTCTGTGCAAATGTCACTTTTAGTCAGGAAAGAGGGAAGACACTTGGGAGATCTGTCTGCAAAGTGAAGACTCCCCATCCCCACGACACCCCCTTTGAGATTCTCTCGCATCCCAGAGCATCTCCCCACCCCTGAACCCCTAACCCTCTCCTGCCCCAAACACAAAGGCCCCAAGTTCCTTAGGCTCAAGGCATCCAGATTTAAGGATGAAACTAAGGCATGTTAGAAGGGGATTTTTTAAAAGAAAGAATAGACTGGCTCCAAGAAGTGGAATGCACTTTCCCTAACCTAACCAAAAGGTGTAACTTTTTACACCTTGAAAGAAAAGTCTGTCTTAAGGCTTGAGTCTAGATCTAACAAGTCCCTCTGTAAATCTCTTTCTTCCCCAGCTCATTCTGCACCAAAATTATAAAAGATAAGTGATTATAATGTTTACCTTTAATGGACTGCTTAATATGGGCCAAGAACCACAAGCTCTTTACTTACATTATATGCTTGAATAGGCAAAACCTCTTTGATTTGCACCTTGCCATGCCCATTTTGTAGATGAGGAAACCAGACCATCCAAGGAAAGGGCAGAGCACTGGGAACCAGGAATTTGGGCTCAGAGCCTGTGCTTAATTATTCACTGTGCAGACCCCAGAGCTAATAAAACAGTGTCGAGGAGTAAAGTCAAGGGTGCACTGAGTCAAAGAACCAGCAAGCTCTCTGTGAAGAACAGAGGATTGCCGGGTCCCTGGGGGACTCCAATTCCTAAGCGTGCTAATCTGCGCCAGGATTCCCCTCATTCCCTTCCCGCAATGCCTCCCAGAAACCAGCCAGTAGGGAGGGGCCCAATCCTCCTGCTTGAGCGCCCCCAGGGGCGCTCCCAAGGGCAGGAACCCTGAGGCTGCAAAACCAGGCCTGGCACCATCTCAAGGAAAGTGGGGCCAGGCCGTTGGGCCCGAGCCAGGGAAGGGAACAGTGAAAGGGAGCAAGGGCTGAGTGGTGAGAGGGGCGTTGGCGGGCAGAAGTGTTATTTGAAGCCATAAACTCGGGTTTAACAGGACACGAAAGCCGGGCGGTGTCCAACGCCCACAGACTTTGAATCCCAGATGGGCTTTCCTGAAGCCAGACCCTGGCGTCTCCACCCCCGCCCCCACAATCGTCCCCCGCAAACCGACGCTTAAGAGTTCCCCGGATGTCCCCAGACGGCGGCACTCTGCCCCTCACCCGAAAGTGGAGGCGGATCTCTGCACCTCCTGGTCCCGCCCACACTGCGGTGTCCAGGGCTGGGGCCAAGTTATGACTCATCTTGGTGCCCCCACACTCAGGCCCTGGAACACCAAAGGCCTCAATCAATATTTGCCCATTTGAAGCAAGACACCCTCTTCCTTCAATCCTATCAAACCCTACTGGGGGGGAAAAAAAAGCCGAGGGGCACCATTGGGCAGCCCTTGGGGCAGTGCTGGGGGAGAAGGATTAGCCTGGAGTGGGGCTTCCTCCCACCCAACAGCTGGACAGCTAGGTTTCTTTCAGGCTGAAAGCTTCACAGATAGCTCAGAACTTGGGCTGGGAAGACAGTGAGGGAGGAAGGCCCAAGATTTAGAGTCAGCAGCTGCCCAGACCCTGTCCCTATCCCTCCCCCAGCCCAAACCAAAGTGCTTGGGATTGGTGAGTCATAGGTTGGTAGGGAGCATGTTGCCAGGGTGGGTGGGGCCCAGCAGGATGCCAGTGAGGGGCTGGAGATGGGCCCAAAGACCAGGCAACCGAGAGAAAGGGTGCAGACAGACATTCAGTGGGCGGCGCACAGCCAGCCACGCAGGGGGAGTTCTCACCTTGTCGATGAAGGAGGCAAACTTGTTGTTGAGGGTCTTGATCTGCTCCTTCTCCTGGGTGCGCACAGCCTGGATGTTGGGGTCCACCTCCAGCTTAAGGGGGCTCAGCAGGCTCTGGTTCACTGTGACAGCTGTGATGCCCCCCACACCCCCTGCCCCGCCGTAGCCCCCCACCAGACCCAGGCTGGGGCCCAGGCTACCCCGGAAGCTGCTGCTGCCCCCTCGGGAGAACGCTGAGGAGCTGATACGGGTGCCGGGCCCGCTCGTGTAAGACCGGCTGCTGAAGGCTCGGGGGCCAGAGGAGGACATCTTGTAGGACTTCTGAGTCACGGTGATGGACATGGTGGAAGCTGGAGTGGAAGCGAACCGAACCAAACAGATTCGAGCAAAAGCTGAGGAGCTGCTTCTAGGTGGGATAACTCCCCAAGATAGCCCTTTATAAAAGAGAGCCCAGCCCAAGGGGAGGGAGATTGGCCTTGCACCTGAGTGGCTAGACCTTGAGGGGGCCGGGCCTAACCCGACACCTGCCACCTACAGGCCGGACTCAGGTGGGGGCAGCAGAGAGCTGCTCCCACCCAGGAGCATCACCAAGCCCAGGGGAGAGCAATTCAGTGAGTGTGAAACAAGACTCCAGGGACTTGTGAGAGCTCCCGGTAACAAAGAAAGTTGCCCAGGGTCACCCAGACACTGCCACTCTGACTCCTGGGCCTTGTCTCCTTCCCTCCTGTGGGAAATAGACACAAGGACTGGGAAGCATAGAGGAAAGGGATTCCGGGCACTTGGGTCTCCTCTGAGTAGCTGACACTCCAAAGACACGGCACTCTTCTCATCACTTTGAGTGATTATAAAAGTCTACCCAAGCTGGAGGATAGGGCACCTGGGTTCCAAACCCTTGAACCTGAGGTCAACCTTTGCCTGGTCTCTCCTCAGTTACTTTTGTATCCTCAGCACCTTGCACAGTGCCAAGAGGGTATGGGGCTGGTAAATATTTGTAGAATGAATGATGGTGATGGTGCACACACACATACACACACACACACACACACACACTGGCTGTCTTCCCTCTGGATCTGTCAGTGCAAGATTAAGTGAGATTTAATACAGCACTTTTCCTGGTCACAACTCAGTGTCTTCCTCTTCTCCCAAGATCCCAGGATTCCCTGAAACAGGCCAAACACTGTAGACCTTGCTAAAAGGCACAGAGAATGAAGGCCAGAAGAGGCAGAGGGATGGGGGGAGCTCAGGAAAGAGGGGAACAGTGTTGTTCTGTTTGCTCCCTGGGTAGTCATCCCCATAGCTCACAGTGGGTGACTCATGGGAAGGACACAGGACGACGGGGTGGGGATTGAGGGACACGCAGATGATGAGTAAGTTTGTAGCCACCCGGGCCTTCCTTCTTTTTCCAGGCCCCCTCTGGCCAGAGAAGATGGAGGAACAGTCTTTGCACCTGTCTCCCTGAACCCATTATCAGGATGAGTCAGGAGAGCAGGTTGGGGCCCAGCACACACCTGCAGAAGGTTGGAGAATGGGGAGGAGAATGGGGAGCTGAGCAAGGCACCCCAGGCCTGGGCAGGACGGGGTGGGGCAGGGTGTGAGTAAAAGCAGGAGGTTTGGGTCCCCGAGGCAGAGATTCCAGCTGCAACTTACCTGATGGCTTGGCTGGTTCTCCGAAAGATCCTGCAGGGCATTATGTGGGGGCTGGATGACTCTTAAATAAACAGACCAACTGCTGGCCAGACACCCAGATCCCCTGGGGAGAAGGCACACAGCCCCTACCTACCAGGAGAACCCACCTACCAGGAGAACAGACATACAGATTCCTCCCCATCCTTCTGCAGCAGTGACATCCAGCATCCCAGAAGGACAGACACGTAGCTCCTACCCAGGGGACAGAGAGACCCAGAAGCCCCCTCCTCTGGGAGACAGAAATAAATCTAAAGAGACAGACACACAGGCTCCCCTCAGACCACACACACACACACACACACACACACACACACACACACACAAGGACACAATTTTAAGTCCCTTCCACAAAGACAAATGCAGGGACTTCCAGAGGGGACACAAAGACTACATTCCTTTCTCCCCTCCACTCTGTTCTCCCTGGGCCTCCTGATATGCTGAACCAGCAGGGGGAAATCCAGTTAGTACCTGTTTGCCCCAGGCCCTCCCTCAGCTTCTTTAAACAATGCTTAATTTTCCAAAGACTGGTTTGAATGTTTGCCACCCCATCCCCAACAAACCCCACCCCTTCCAGAGGCCAAAGGGAGGGGTGAGGGCCCACTGCCAAAGCAGGGCTGGGAAAGCGGAAGGAGAAAGGGAGGGGCTGGTCAGACAGGTATGGCCGCCCTGGGAAGGGAGGACAACCAGCACCCCACTTCTTCCCCTTCCCCCACTATTATTGGGTGGACTGGGTGGCTCAGAGGGGAAGTACTGAAGTCCTGAGCACAAAGCAGTAACCCAGAACCCTTCTCAAATCTTGACCTCTCCACCCAGCCCCACCTCTCCCATGGTTCCAGGGATGCTTTTTGTTTAAGGTGAAGACAAAGAAACTATAAGGAACCCTGTGGTTTTTCAGGCTGTAGGGCTTGCCCAGATCTCACCCAGGGAGCCTCCCTCTTTTCTGGGGCAGCCCAGAATAATCCTAGGCCAGGTGTGTCTGCATCTCCTTTGTCAGTTCCCTATTACCCTATTACCCAGAGGCTCTAGCCAACTTGTCGCCCATGCCCCAAACAGGGGTGAGAAGAGGCCAGAGCTGCCCTCCAAAGGGCCAGGCGTCCAGGGTGGAAGGAGAAGGAGAAGGCCCCAGGACTAAGGCCAAGTGATGACAGAGAAAAACGGACCGGGATGGCCTGCACACATAACTCCCTGTAAGGCTGTATCTGGCCACTGCAGTCTGCGCACTGCTGCATGCCCAGAAAAAGGGAAAGTGTTTATGTTGGCTATGCCCAACCCAGATGACATTGCCCCAAACTGCTTTTCCTGGAGAACAGAAGGGGGAAGGAGGAGACACTCACCCCACCTCCACACCCCAATGGCCTGAACAGAGGAGGCCAGGGGCCCTGAGCCGCTGTGAGAAGGCTGGGGGTGGAGGTGGGTGGGCAGGGTAGCTGTTAGCATTACATCATTCACGATCATCAGAGAAGATGGTCTGAACAAATTCTCAGTGATCAGAACTAATGACACAAAGACAATACATTCATAATATGGAAACAACCCAAATGTCCACCAGTTGATGAATGGATAGACAAAATGTGATAGATCCATACAAAGAAATATTATTTACAAGGAATGAAGTAGTGATATATGTTAACAATGTGGATGAGAACACTACGCTAACGGAAGGAAGCTGGTCTCAGAAGGCCACAGAGTGCACGATTCTGTTTATATGAAATGTCCAGGCTGGAGAGGATGGAGGTGATTGCTAAAGAGTACAGGGTTTCTTTTGGAGGTGATGAAAATATCCTAAATTTGATCCTGGTGATGGTTTTGCACAAGCCTGTGAAAATACCAAAGGTAATTTATTGAATTGTATGGTTCAAATGGTTGAATTACATGGTATGTGAATAATAGTTCAACAAAGCTGTTACCAAAAAAAAAGCCCACAAAGCATAAATTAGCCACGTATACAAAGCTGGGACCTTGTGAGCCAGCATCGGGGTCAGGAGAGAGGAGGGAAGGTTTTGTTTAGATGCTGAAAGTAAAAAGGTCTCCACCTCTAGGTGAGAAACTGGGGCACTGTCCCCAAAACATTGGAAACACTTTAAAAGATGGGCAACTTAAAATAGTACTGTTGACATAGAAATAGCTGAGTTTAGCAGGTTGGCAGCAAGAACAATTAGTTTAAGTGGAAAGCCACAGATGGTAGGAATGCCCATCAGTAAGTCACATCATGAATAATAAAGGTGATTTCATTGTTGATTTTTGTGCTGTGTTCCTCAAGGCCACAATGTCATTGCTGGTAAGTGAGGACTTTTTTAATTCCTGATAATTGGCAACTCTGATGATTAAAACCAGCCAGAATGGGAATGGACTGCCTGGAGCACAGGAAGGTCCTGTGCCTAGAAAAACTGAAACCAAGGCTTGCTGATCAGCTAGCTGTCAGCTGGGTTCACTGTAGGAGGATCCCTTCTTCAGGGACAGGATTGGACTAGAACTTCCAAATCCTCCCCACTCTGAGAGCCTTTGATCCGTGTCCCACCATTCTATAGAGATTTACCCAGGCAATTAGGCATCTACAAATGTTCTCTGACCTGAAGTTTTGATTTTGATAGGAGACCTGATTAGAAGTTATTAGACAAGTCTGGAGAGAAGAGCAGCAAAGTAAAGCCTTACTGCGGAGGAAGGAGGCTTTCACCCAACAGCCAGGAGGTGATGCCGTCTCCTGCCCACCTTCACATCCTCGCACCCTCACCTCCACGGATCCCAAACCTGAAGAGGCCATCCGCTACCTGGGCTGTCAATGCTCAGTAAGTGGTGGGAAGGAGCCAGCTGGGGTTCAGTTGGGGAGGAAATTTTTTCCTCTATCTTTCCAAGTTCCTATTGCTTGTCTGAGAATTCAAATGACATGAGAGAGATTAACAAGAGAAAAATCAAACCTAATTACATCACGTAAGTGTGGGGAATCCACATAAACATGAGACATTCCAAAGAGGATTGGGCAAAATGAGGTGTTTGTCATCCTGAACTAAGAAGGGGGCAGGGGTTTGGGACTTCAAAGGTAAGGAAAGCAATTTGCAGGAGGATGGAAAAGAGTAAATGTTGAGCAGACAAATGTTTGCTAGGCCACACAGAAACAATGGGATGTACAGAGGAATTTTAACAGACTCAGCCACATTCCTCCCCTTCTACCACCCCTACTGCATATCATGCAATTGCTATCTATGGTGAAAGCTGCCTTCCTGGAACAGGTCCTCTAAATTCTTCTGGGCAGTTAGGGGGAGGTCAAAGTTTCTTCCTGAGTCATTAGGCCTTGACTTTTTTCAGCTTGAAATAATCTGCAGGTCGCAGTAGCACATCTTGGGGCTACTGGCTCTGAACCTTTACAGAGTCTTCCCCTTCACTCAGGCTCTCTGTCTGGAGCATGTGCACAGACATCACCCAGGCTGCATTCCATCTTCATTTTCTGGAAGTTTCCTCCATGCATCCAGGGTTGAGCCCAAGGCTTTAAGCTCCACCAAGACCTCCAAGTACCCACTCTTCTCCCATCCCCAGAGGAAAAAAGCCAGAGCCCAGACCCCAAGCACAGAAGAGTCCCCACTTAGAAAGGATGACATGCCTGTTCCTCAGGGAGGACTACACAGAGTGGCTGGTCGCCAGAGCCTGCCACTGCACCATGCTGGCCCGGGACCCAGACAAGCTGAGCAAGCACCAAAATACGGGCAGTGAGGACAGCAGTTCAGGGGACTGGAGTGATGGGAAACGGAAGGCGGGAGTCATTGGAGAATGCTTCCCAGGGGGCTGGGTCCCTGGAAGAGCCCTAAGGAAGGAGTCACACAGGCTCCCCATGGCTCCACTGCCAGGGAAAAAGCTTTCCTAAAGGTGTGACCAGGTGAGCGGATAGGAGCTGAGGAGGGAGGAGGGAGCAGGAAGGACCTGGGGACCAGCTACAGTCCCTTGCAGCCCACCCCCACCCTCCAGCCCTGAGAATTACCTCACCTGGGCTGCTTGGCAATGGAACTATTGTCCATTGTGGGAATGGGGCAGGGACGCAGGGCCTTGATTCCCTCCTGTTTTCATTCACCCACTCATTCACTAATCAGGCACTAGCCTAAAACATTTGGGGAGACAATTTTTTGGCTCCTTTCACACCAGTTACAGGTACAGGTGAAGGCCTGCTTTGGTCAAGGCAAAATGTATCCTGAAGGTTCCTGCTGAAAAGAGGCCATGAGGAGTCCTTAGCCATTAATTAAGTATGTTGATAGCTGACTATATTCTGGGCACCTGATGGAAAAGCTCTGAGGGAACTGGGCCCCTAATAACCTTCACTGTGTATTGAGAGAGCCAGGCAGGTGACACTTAGTGCCACTTTATTTTATTACTGTAGTAATAATACTTATATAGTACAAAAACTGCCTTACAAATATTAATATCACTTAATCCTCATAAGAACCCTATAAAGTAGGTGCCATAATCACCATTTTGACCACATAAGAGCATGCCCAAGGTCACACAGCAGTGTCGCTTTTTCTCCGTGTTCCTAACTACTACATCTTACTTCCGTGTAATGACAGGGGGTGAGAAGAGTAGTGTGGCCTTGGATGAGCAAGCTGGCACTAGCAGAGGACTGAGAGGACCTGAGGACAGTGCACTCTGATGGGAAGAGGAGGAAAGTGTCGGCACTGGGCTCGAGGGCCCCCCAAGGAGGCAGGGGAACCTTGTGGGATGGTGCTAAGGTGAGCTCCCTCACCTCCATGTTGCCTGATGTGAGTCTTGTCTGGGATGGAAACTTCTGAGTCTCTATTTTTCATTCTACTCCCCCAAGCTCCAATTCCTCAAAAAAAATCTAGGAGTCTGAAAAACAACCCCCAAGCACCTCTTTAAAAACTCATAACATGAGGGGTTGGACAAGAACCTTTGAATGCCCTGACACCCCAGATTTGCCAGAGTCACAGGTTAAGGCCCACTCTTAACACACTAGCCCAGCCCCCATCCCAGCCCCTGGGTGAAAAGAAGGGCCCCTTTCTTGCCTTCCTGATACATAGGAACAGTGACCCTTCCCTTGCCTAGAACAGAAGAGAAAGTCACGCAACATTGGTGGCATCCTGAAAAATCAGGGGCAAGGTGTGGTCCTCTGAGAGGTGTTCTCCTGGTCTCATATCTCATCCCACCCCACCCATGGTACACCATTCCCTGCCTTGGACCATGGCTTACATATGAAAAGATCATTTATGTATGGCGGGCTGGCATAAATGAAAGGGTCTACTTGGCACCAGATGTGGGCAAGCCAGAGGCTATGGCCACCCCAGGCCTCACTGGAACACACCAATCTGTCATAGTTACAGCCCACTCTTGGCACAGCCAATATGGCCAGACAACCTGCCTGGGAAACTTTGGCTTGGGGAAACCAGTCTGTTTCGGTGAAGTAAAGAGCTGAGAGTGGAACAAGAAGGAAGAGGGTACAACAGCTAACCCCCAGCCCGCCCTGGAGAGAAGACTCAAGAATCAAGGGCACCCGTCAGAGCTGGAAGCCATAAATGCCCAGGTATCTAGGCAAAGCCTGGGATTAATCACCCACCATAAAAGCAGCACACTGAGGTGGGCGGGGGAGTCTCCTCAAAAGTGAGCTTCCCCAAAGCTGCCTTCTGTACCCTATCAATAAACAATTCATTTCGGCCCTCCCCACCCGGGCCCTACCTGCTGGAGTAGAAGGAAGTAACAAGCAATAAAAAAATAAAATAAAATAACCTGAGTGTCGGTTTCCTCCTCTAATATTAGGGGTTGGTCTAAATAGCCTTGGATATTTCTGACTCCCCCACCAACATCAACGAAAGTTTTATGATTATATATATATGACTCAAGGATTCTAAGGAATTTGGCTTCAGGCTGAAAACAATGAGGATTTTCTCCTAAGGGTAGAAGCTAATGATGGCTGGGTTCTACCAAGGTACGGATAAATATAAAGCTAGGTCCCTGCCCTCGGGCACACGGGAACCAGGTGCTCTGGCAGAACAAACATGCCACAAGTCCCCTCTGTCCCCACACCCCCTCACAGCTAGTCAGTCGCTCTGTTACCCTCATCTCTCTCTCTCTCTCTCTCTCTCTCTCTCATGCATGCACAGACTCATGCACACACACAGAGTCATATCATCCAAACACACACATACACATTATTGCTCAGAACCCTTGATTGCAAGTGACTGAGACCCAACTCAAATGCGCTTAAGCATAAGAGATCGTTTATTTGCTCACACAATGGAAACCTCAGGAGGGCCTCTGGCTTTTGGCATAGCCAGATGAAGGGCTCAATGACAGCATTAGTACCATCTTTCTCTACTTCTCTTGACTCTGTTTTCCTCCGTGTTGGTTTCCTTCAGAGGCAGACCACTTCCATGCTGCGGTGAGGATGATGACCAAGGGACTGCCTCTTTCCCAGTCCTTCCTGCTGGATTTCCCAGGCTGACTCTCACTGGGCTGACTTAGGGCACCTGCTCAGCAGAATACACACATTTTGACTAGATGGGTTCATGCAGCTGGTTGCTGGAAAGAGGTGGTCATGCTCACCCAAACTACATAAAAAAGGGGCAGAAAGGTGTTTCACCAAAAAAGGAGAAGGAGAGATGTTGACAGATAAGAACAACAGATGTTTGTGACCTACAATAACCCAAATGTACACAAGGAAGATGTGGAAATCTAGAAGACTGCAGTGGTATAAAGATATCAGTGTACACACTGAGCCCTTGTATGAATGTAAATATTGCCTGGCCAAAGTCTATCTTCTGTACCCTACAAACAAAATGTTAATTTCAGATAAATTAGTTGTTCAGATGTATGCTATAGGACTTCAGAGGCAGGGAAGAGCTGTTTAAAATGGGTTTAGGCTTGATTGAGTTGAGTTTAGAAAACAGACATAGATGGAAAGATCTGGAAATGCAATGAGTCATTGCACAGGAACAGGATTCCCATGGAACAGAAAGACTAGGTGGTGAAGAGGTAGGTGGGACTGAGGGTTCTGAGGCCAAAGTTCATCCTGTAGGTTGCAGAGGCCAGTGAAGGTGGGGGTCAGAAGGGTGACATGGTTAAAGCAGTGCTTTACAAAGATTAAGTGAGCCGTGGTATGTTAGTTAGGTGGTAGGTGCAAAAACTGAAGGCAGGAAACTAAAAAGAGGGCTAATGCAGAATGCAAGTGAGCAGGCCTTGGTGTGGTAGGAGCAGTGAGGGCAGGAAGACAGGGATGGAATCAAGAAGAAAGAACAAACTAGATGTGGCAGTTGATTGCATGGCTGAGACCAAGGTTAGGGGAAGCAAGAAGGTGACTCAGATGCACTGTGGTAACTCCCTGCTGGACCCTAGCACCTTCGGCTCCAGCCAGACTGGCACACGCACTTGCCATGAGCCACTGGGTTGACCCCTGCCATTGAGTTCATCCTGCCTGCATCAGACCACAGCTCCTTGTGGACAGGGCAAGGTCCTCTAGCATCTAGATCTGGTTCCTATCTCTGTGCCAGCCTCTGATTGGTGGGGTGCTGGCCCAGAGCAGATGCCACTGAGTGGATGCACAGACCCTCCCCTGATCAAGCAGTTTACACTCGCTCCCTTACCTTTGCTCATTACACATGTGCACAAGCACACCTTCACTCTAGCAGCAGCATGATAAGATGTCATAAAATCCTGTGTGGTCCTCAGCAGCAGACACATTTCTCTCCCCATTTTCTCTCCCCGCTGATCATGCCACACCTGGAGAACAGTGTTTGGCTGGCTCTTATCTGACTCTTAGGAGGGACCTGGAGTCTTAGGAGGAAACTGGAGCCTATACAAGGAAACACAGGGGAAGTGAAGGAATATAGAAGCCACATTCTGCAGAGACACAGCTGCGGGAGCTGGGAGTGCAAGCAAGCCCTGGAGAAGAAGAGACACCACCTCCTTGCCGGGAGGAGAAAGGGACATTCATCAGCATGGCCAGAGGGGTACCACTAGAACCAGTAAGAAGGAGCTCCCAGAGAGTGAAGTCTGCACACTTCACTTCACCCCATCTAAACTCAGAGAGGCGCTGCCAAGCAGGGAGAGAAAAGTGCCCACTTCACACAGCTGCCAAGGGAATAACTTAAATCTGAACCTCGTGGACTGCTCGCTTGTGGGACTGCCCCCAGGCCTGTTCAGGCATAGCTACTGCTCTGCACACAGGTGGGATTGAGATCCCAGGGACAGTGAACACCATCAGAAAAATTTTGGAGCTACTTCCTAACTGTGTCACATTGGACAAGGTACTTAATCTTTCTGAAGTTCCTTTTCCTCAGCTGAAAATGGAGATAATAACTACCTAAAAGGACTGTTATGAACATTAGATAAGGAAGAGTGCCTGATAGTTGCAGGTTTTCAGCTGCTAGTTTGATTGGATCGCACCACCCCTCCTGCTTATCCCCCTCTCTTTCCCAAAACCTTCCTCAGTGCAGTTTCCCTTCACCACCTTCAACACCACCCTCCATGGAATTTGTGTTTGCAGATTTGCCTTGTAAGAATTTAAGGCCTGGTATTCCTCTAGCACGATGGAACAGTGTTTCGTGAATCTTTTGTGTCCTCTGCAGAACCTGTCCCATCCACAGTAGGTGCTCAGGCGGGAGAAAGCCCTGGCTCAGAAGGGGTGAGGGTAACTGGAGAGAGATGGTAGCTGGAGCTATCAGGAGGCGCCTATAAGGTAGTAATAAAGGGATAGCACACAAAAATCTGTGACCATGCAAAACAGAAGCTTGCAAATGCAATTCCTAGGGAGCTAGCCATGCAAACCGAGCCCTACCTGTTGACACCCACTTCCCTTCCCCAACTTTCAACATAGGGCTTCTTTCCCTGCCCACAATGGTAGTGGTGGTGGGAATGATGATAATAATGATAGCAGCTCTCCTTTACTGGGTTCCCACTAAGTGTCAGATCTCTTTCCATATTATTATTTATTATTGCAAATATATATTATTTGCAATCTTAATAATCCAAGAGAAAGGTAACATTTTACAGATAAGGAAACTGAAAGTCCTTCAAGACTTGACCTCAAGTCTGGGGCGAGTCCAAAGCCTGAACATGCTCTTTCCAGGGATGCTGTCTTAGAGGCAAGTCCATTTCTCTCCATCAAGGGAAGCTGTATCATGCAACCCAGGAGACATGACCCAGAAACATGTTTATTTTATTTAGCAATCCAAAAAAATATATATTACCTTCATTCGATTAGTATTTGTTGAACCTCTAAACTACTTCTCCTCATTTAAGGATTCTGACAGACTTAGGGGACCTCTCTCATCAAAAGGAAAGCTCCATCAAGGCAGGGACCGTAACTGTTTTGTTAGCAGCATTAGAGCATATCTAGCAGGCATTCCATCAACATGCAATGAATGTACTCACAGGTGATTGACTCAGCACCATCATGCGCATGTCTATAAGAGAGAAAATAACGGAGAGAATCAGAGTAGCTCAGGTGAAAGAAAGCCCCACTACCTACCAGCCAATAAATAACCAACCTACCTCCCGGATTCCCTGGTCTCTAAGGGCTAAGATAACCCCAAAGCAAGACACAGAGACCTATTCATAAGTCTTAAAGCAAGCCTGCAGACCTGGAACATTGGAATAGGCTGGGCCTGGGCCAGCCCAGGCCAGTTTAGCCTCAGGGAAGTGTTAGGCAAGCTCCCATAGCAACAGAATGCAGTGTGTGTTTCTGTGTTCCCAGCAGAATTCCAGGCTGAGCCTATCTATTCCCCAAGGCTGTACTGTCCCCTCTCCATCCTTGCCTCCCCAGGTTTCCCAGGCGACCATCTTAGGAACCTAGAGAAGCCTGAGCAGCAGAAGCAGCCTCCAGAACATGAGATGCAGAGGAGGGCCCCACCCAGACCAGTGCTTCTGGCTCAGAAGTGTCCAGCTGCAGAGGTCAGGCTCCTTGGGCCCCTCCTAGATCCCTGGGCCCATGGTCCTCATGGCTTCCACGTCCAGCCACACTGACCCTCCACCCCCAGCTCCTTCCCCACCAGGGCCTGACTCTGGTCCACTTGGCAGCCAGTGCCTACACAAACTCTCTCCACTTGGGCAGTTCATCAGACCAGAGAACCTCCTCCTCTTTCTGTCCCTGCAGCCTGGCTCCACCCCATACACCTCCTTCAGGAAGCCCTCCTGGACCTTCCCTCCTAGGCTTCTCCCCCAGCCTTCCAGCTTGTCTCTGATCCGGTATTCCTCCTCTGACCTGGTCTCCTAGAGCTGGGTGTGGGTCCAGGCACCCCAAATGGCCTAAGAGTTCCCTTAAGATAATGACAACTTTTAATCCTTGCAGAAGCTATGAAATAAAATTTGGATAAAAAAAAAATTTTTTTTAACTCCGTTTCAGAGCTGAGGAAAGAGCCTCAAGGTTATGAATAGTCTGTGCTCCAGAGAAGGCAAATAGTGAATCTGTGGCATCTTACTACACTGATAGACAGTGACCACACTGGGGTATGGGTAGGGACTTGACAATATGGGTAAATGTAGTAACCACATTGTTTTTTCATGTGAAACCTTCATAAAAGTGTATATCAATAATACCTTAATAACAAATTAAAAAAAAAAAAGAATAGTTTGTGCTCTAGCAGTAGCAAATGGGAAAGGCAGAACTGGACCCTGTCTGCCTCCACAGGCATGTCTCACCTGCTTGCCTTCCATCTCCCTCTCTCCCCACCCCTTCAAGATGGTACCATATTCCAAGCACACCCCACACCACAGACTCTTTATGAGCCCCTTTATTCCCCATAATTAAACCTATAAAGGAGGTACAAATAGTTTCATTTTACAGATTAAGATAGGGAATCTCAGAAACTAAGAACATTTCCTAACATCACACAGAACCTAAGTGCGAGGACCAGAATTCAACCAATTCTTCTAGCTCAGAAACCCAAAGCTAGGTTTCCCAGTCCACTGGGTGTAGCCAGAGACAGCTGAGAGATGCAGGAGATAGGAGTGCAGATTCTCCAGGCCAGCAAGAAAGCTTCGACTCTGTCAGCCAGCCCCTCGGATAAAGAAAAATGCCTTCCAGAAGGCCTGCTGATCTGGGGAGACCCAGGAACCCCAAGGCAACTGAGCAGTGCAAGCTTGCTAGCTAATCTTCCAGCTCTCTGCACCCCCCACTCATCCTGTGCACCCACATGCCCTCAAGTCCTTTCACTTCTGCAAATTCCATCACCTCCAAAGAGCTCTACGATTTGTGACAAAGACAAAATGAGATTAAATTAATTTAAATTTGAGAATTATTTTCAACAATTCTTGGAACAATGCAGAGTAGCAGAAAAACACAAATTTGGGAATCAAGTAATCTGTTTTTTAGTTTCCACTCAGTCTCCAAATTGCTGTGTAACATTGGACAAGTCACTTCCCCTCTCTGAGCTATAATTGTCTCATCTGAATAATGAAGGAACAGTACCATTTATTTCTAAAATTCTTTTAATTGCATTTAAATTAATTAGCTTTTAGGGAGTGTGAATTTCCCAGAGTGATTGCCATGTAGTGAGGAAAGTCTTACACTTGAAGTCATACTCAATTTGCACTCTCAGCTTTTGTTCTCTCATATATAAAATAAAGAATATGATGATAATGTTTGTAAGAGATGTTTTTTGCCTCCTTGAAAGTTCCTTATAGAACTCATACAGTGATGGAAGCAAACTACAAACTCTTCTCCAACAATTCACCCTTACTCCTGTCTGTCACCTCCCTCCCCCCGTAATAGGGCCCCTGTGACACAGCACACCCTCAACTCTACTCTGGAGTCTTAGTTCTCTCCCGCTGCAGGAATAGCCAACGAACAGAAGAGCATCCTCTCCTTTACACATTGAAAGGAAGGGAAAGGATAGACTAAAAGGAAGGACTGGCTAACCCGAGAAGTAGCAGCAGTAGCAGAAAGGAGTGACCAGGAAAGGGGATGCACCTTTGAAAAAGGAGCTATGCTAGATGTCTTCTCACTCAGACCCAGACCTGGTCAGGCCTGCCCAGAAGCCAAGAAACAGAGAAGAGCAGGAGCAGAGGCCTCAAAGGACAAGACAGAACAAGGCCACATTGGTGAGGAGATGACCTTGGGGGAGGAGGTGCTGAGCAGGGTTCTGAAATTAGTGCTCCCAGCCCATCTGTAATTCCTGGGGAAGGTTGAATAAGCCCTAGAGGTACACTACTCCTTGGATATGCAACAGACTGCCTCACTGAGAAGGAGCTATCCTGGGCCATCTTATCTTATCTCCCACTTCCAGAGATCCTGGAGAGCTATTTCTGAGTTCCCTGGAGCTCAGACTGAGTCAGGGCTGGGGCTCCAGGGGCCTGGGGGCCTGGGCAGCATGTCTGAGTCATTCCAGAGTGTGTGCTCCATCCGGAAATGAAATGGGAGCAAAGGGAGAGAAGAGATGGGTCAGGATGACTGGTCCCACCAAAGGCTAAGGATCTCAGATTCCTATCAGCCAGCCCCAGGCTAGAAATTTCCCAGCTGGGAAAGTTAGGTCCCAGGGCTAGACAACACTGTCATCTCAATTAGCCCTCTGCTACTGAGTTCGGGGATCATGCACAGCTCTTACTGGGGCCTAGTAGGGTCTTGCACTTTCTGCCACCATTATCTACCTCTCTAGGTTTAAAATCTGCAGTTAACTTTCCTCTCTGAGAGCACAGAAGCAAGGGACACAGTCCTGGCCCCTGTCCTGTTCTTCTCTCCCCTCCCACCACATTTCTCTGTGCTGAGCCTGGAGTCCATGGAGGCAGGAGACTTTCTCTGTGTCCCTGAGAAATTCTCCACCTCCCCGAGATGTTCTCTTCTCCTCTTGGCAGGTAGGTGAGAGGGGCCTTGGGGACATGCTGGTGTGAATGGCCCCTCTGCAGAGTGGAGAGGGAGATGATATCATCACCTCACCTGAGGCTCCTAGACATGTGCACACTCTCCCACTGCCCCTCTGTACCTGTCCCCCGCCACTTTTCCCACTTGCTCCAAAATGTCCTCTCCCAGTGCCCAGTCAGACAGAACGCCTATAAACACCACTTTGATCTTGCCACTCCCTAGCTCAGAACTTCCGTTGCTTTCAGAATAAAGGTCAAATTCATCTGGCTGCTCTGCTGAGCCTTTCAGGAGCCTGGCACTAGCTGCCTCCCCGCCCCAGCTCCAGGGCTATGTCCTTCCCTCCTAAGCACCTCCCTGTTACCTGCACCTGCTGAAACCTTACCCTTCCTTCAGGCCCTGGCTCCAGCACTCCACATTCATTCTGCAAACATTTAATGAATGAAAATCATGCACTAGGCACCTCCCCACACAGCCTGCCCCAGACACTACTGCCCGGAAGCTGCCACTCCCACAGAGACCCCAAAAAAAGGATCTTTGTTACACCCTGGGGCTGGGTTACACTTGCCTGAGCACCCCTCCCTGATTGTAAACCTGATCCACAGGCATGGAACATGCACTGAACATGGGCTAATGAGGCAATCTTCCACATTTTTCTCATTTGATCCTCACAATGACCTTGAGTGTTCCATATCACCATCCTTATTTACAGATAAGGAGCCCAAGGTTCAGACAAGTAACTTGTCCATCAAGTGGTAGTCAGGGCTCAACCCAGGGTCTCTGGATTCCAAGTCCAGGAACCTCATACCAGCGCCAAATCCCCTCTCTGAAAAGCAGAGTCATGTTTTACATGTTTCTGTTTCGCCCAGCACCCAGCACAGGACCTTGTTTGATTCGTGGGATGAATGAATGAATGAATGAATGAATGAATGAATGAATGGTCCTGTGATTCTAGTCTACTAGGATGAATCCTCTTCTCCACTCTGATCCCTAGTTCCTCTCTGCACATTCCTATTTTCCCATCTTCTCTCTTTCACCAGGGCCCCAAGGACCCAGAAGATAAGGGAGGAGAGAAGCAGTGATTGTTCTCACTGACACCAGGGATTGCAGAGGTCTCAGGAAACAGCCCAAAGAAGGAAATCCAGGACAGGAAGGCTCCGCCCACCACCCCACTACCTAGTTTGATAGACCAGTGAGTCCCAGCCCTTCTTTCCATCCCTTCCCAATTCCAGCAGGACATAGGTGGGGCAGAAGGGAGAGAACAGTGGCTGTTCTCGGGCCACCCAGAGAGCCGTGAGGGAGTAAAAATGGGCTTAAATTCAATGACTCACCATCCTGTGCCTTCCCAAGGTAGGGGGGCACCTGGACACTTGAACTTTCAGCCCATCTCTAGGGAGACACTTGGGTGTCAGTAAGCTGCAAAGGAAGAGAAAGAAGAGTTCTGTTTACCCAAACTAAGGGGCGACCATGGCAACACAGGCCAAGGCCATCAGGCAGGGGGCAAAGGTCCCGGCCAGAGCAGGGCTCTGCTGTCAGCCTGCCAACCAGGCCAGTTGCCCAGAGCAAGCCAGCCAGGACTTCTCTGGCCAAGCACCCCCTTGCGGGCACAGCCTGTCCTGAGAGCTGTGGAGGAGCAGTCCTGAGGCGGAAGCCACCCGTTTTACAGATACACATGTGTTCCCACCCCCACCTTACCCCTTTCTTTGAGCTTTCTCTCTGGAGACCAGAGACAAGCAGACATAGACAGTGAACCAGGGGGAACTCTTGGCCTCTGTGCAGGGGCAAAGAAGGAATGGGGAGCTGAGCTTCTGGGATAGGCAAAGTGGCTGTGTCAGTCTGTTTCTGTTTCTGTTCCTGGAGGGGAATAAGCTCAGAGCATAAGGACAAGGGTTCCCAAGCTAAGAAAAGGTAGTGAAGGCATCAGAGCAGAAGAGAGTGCTTTCTCAGCTGGCATGAGAGACCAGAGATATGCTGTCACTCCCTCCTCTCTGCTAGTCACCAGAATCATAAACTTTTGGTGCCCAAAGTTCCCCCATGGCTGCTACCACCATCCTTAACAGTGCCTCCCTCACCTGTTATCTACAGCCTTTTCTCCTCTTACCTCTCTCTGGGAGGTGGAGGCAGCACTCCCTGCGCTCTGGGCTGGCCTTCCACCTGTGCTCTGGGCCCCACCCCCTCAGAACCTCACTTCACCAGGCCCCTTCTCTCTCTGGTCTTGCTACTGCCACCCTCATCCCAGATGTAGTTTTCTCCTCTGCCTGTATCCATGCACAAATCCCTTCCTCCTCGAGAAAACAAAGGAAAGAAGAAATGAGGGAAGGGAAGGAGAAAGGGGAATCATCCTTGACCCTCCACCCCTTTCTCTCCTTACCTCCATAGCCAAACTTCCCAAACAAAGAGGCCATATTCAGTCCCACATCTCACCTCATCCTTCCTAGCCCCAACCAGCCACCATCCTTGGAAATGATTAAAACCACCAATGATCAGCTAACAGCTGATGTGGCGTACTCATTTTAGATTTTATCTGACCTCCCTGCAATATTGGACTGGACACTACTGACCACTACCTGTTTCTTCAAAGACTATTACCTTGGCCTCCTGACATTTCCTTCAAATTACTTATTATTTCCCTGGCCACTCCTTTCCTGAATCCTCTTTATCTGTCCACCACTGTATCTGTGGTCCTTTATCCTTCTGCTGGGCCACACACCTCTTTAAAACGCTAATGCACAATCACAGACTGCCAGCATCTCCCTCCCACATAACTAAAAGCAGTCATGTACTCGGGCAATCCACCATCACAGACCAGATTATGAGCCTCTGCCTCAACCTCTTTTCTTCCACCATCCACTCCCAGGATGATGGCTCCTAGATCAACAATTCTACACTCAGGAAAGCTACAGACCCTTGTTTCCAATCACCACCTGGATGTCTCACCCAAGTCTCAAAATCAGTAGATTACAAACTGAAGTCATTACTTAGTGCCACCCTCCTGGCCTTGCATTCTCTCATCATCCCTGTTTTGTGGATGGTATCACTCCCTCCAAAGCAAGAAACCTGGGAGTCACCTGAAGTCCTGGGTTTGGCACTGTAACCTGCCTCATCTGGTTGTTATTGAGGCTTAATAATGTGATATATGTGAAGCATGTAGAGTCACACCTGGCACATAGTAGGTGCTCAGTAATTGTTTGTTCATGATTGTTGTTAGTCTTACTTCTCCTTTCCCCATCCAATTAGACATCCAATTAGACATCAAGACTTGCCAACTCTAACTTCTAAATTTCCCATGAATCTATTTTCCTCCCTGTATTTTCCTCTCTGCTTGAGTACTGTGGAGGGGCAGTTCTGAGGCAGAAGCCACCCATTTTACAGATACACATGTTGCCCAGGCTGACAGCAGAGCCCTGCTCTGGCTGGGACCTTTGCCCCCTGCCTGATGGCCCTGGCCTGTGTTGCCATGGTCGCCCCTTAGTTTGGGTAAACAGAACTCTTCTTTCTCTTCCTTTGCAGTCTCCTCTTACCTCTCTCTGGGAGGTGGAGGCAGCACTCCCTGCGCTCTGGGCTGGCCTTCCACCTGTGCTCTGGGCCCCACCACCTCAGAACCTCACTCCACCAGGCCCCTTCTCTCTCTGGTCTTGCTACTGCCACCCTCATCCCAGATGTAGTTTTCTCCTCTGCCTGTATCCATGCACAAATCCCTTCCTCCTCGAGAAAACAAAGGAAAGAAGAAATGAGGGAAGGGAAGGAGAAAGGGGAATCATCCTTGACCCTCCACCCCTTTCTCTCCTTACCTCCATAGCCAAACTTCCCAAACAAAGAGGCCATATTCAGTCCCACATCTCACCTCATCCTTCCTAGCCCCAACCAGCCACCATCCTTGGAAATGATTAAAACCACCAATGATCAGCTAACAGCTGATGTGGCGTACTCATTTTAGATTTTATCTGACCTCCCTGCAATATTGGACTGGACACTACTGACCACTACCTGTTTCTTCAAAGACTATTACCTTGGCCTCCTGACATTTCCTTCAAATTACTTATTATTTCCCTGGCCACTCCTTTCCTGAATCCTCTTTATCTGTGCACCACTGTATCTGTGGTCCTTTATCCTTCTGCTGGGCCACACACCTCTTTAAAACGCTAATGCACAATCACAGACTGCCAGCATCTCCCTCCCACATAACTAAAAGCAGTCATGTACTCGGGCAATCCACCATCACAGACCAGATTATGAGCCTCTGCCTCAACCTCTTTTCTTCCACCATCCACTCCCAGGATGATGGCTCCTAGATCAACAATTCTACACTCAGGAAAGCTACAGACCCTTGTTTCCAATCACCACCTGGATGTCTCACCCAAGTCTCAAAATCAGTAGATTACAAACTGAAGTCATTACTTAGTGCCACCCTCCTGGCCTTGCATTCTCTCATCATCCCTGTTTTGTGGATGGTATCACTCCCTCCAAAGCAAGAAACCTGGGAGTCACCTGAAGTCCTGGGTTTGGCACTGTAACCTGCCTCATCTGGTTGTTATTGAGGCTTAATAATGTGATATATGTGAAGCATGTAGAGTCACACCTGGCACATAGTAGGTGCTCAGTAATTGTTTGTTCATGATTGTTGTTAGTCTTACTTCTCCTTTCCCCATCCAATTAGACATCCAATTAGACATCAAGACTTGCCAACTCTAACTTCTAAATTTCCCATGAATCTATTTTCCTCCCTGTATTTTCCTCTCTGCTTGAGTACTGTGGAGGGGCAGTTCTGAGGCAGAAGCCACCCATTTTACAGATACACATGTTGCCCAGGCTGACAGCAGAGCCCTGCTCTGGCTGGGACCTTTGCCCCCTGCCTGATGGCCCTGGCCTGTGTTGCCATGGTCGCCCCTTAGTTTGGGTAAACAGAACTCTTCTTTCTCTTCCTTTGCAGCTTACTTACACCCCCACCTCACCCCTTTCCCTGAGCTTTCTCTCTGGAGACCAGAGACTAAATTATTGAAGCTAAATAATGTGAAACCTTAGTTTGGGCATTCATTGTCACATGCCTAGATGATTGCAGTCATCTCCAGTCTTGTCCCTTCATATCCTTCCAAGACATTCAGCTAGAATGGTCTTGCCAAAAAGCAGTTCTGATCACGACACTTCCCTGCTTCAAGTTTCGAGCTTCATTGTCTTCCCAGTTGCTGAAACAGTAGCTCTCAGCCTTTGGTGCATTCTTAGGGAACCTGTTACAAATAGAGGCCCAGACCTCAATCCTAAAGATATTATTCTGCAGGTTGGGGTGGCATATGGGCACCTGCATTCATAATATGTTATCCAGAGTATCTGGTACAAAATAAAGTTGAGATCCAGGGAAGCCCAAACTCTTCATGACCTACAAGGCCCTCATTGACCTGGCCCTCACAACATTTCCCAGTTCATCTCTGCTACCCATTACCTCCCCATATATTCAACAAACATTTATTGAGCACCTAATAAATGCAGGCACTAAGAACACAATGATGAGCAAAGTAGACATGGCCCCTGAAACTTACAATCTAGTTGGAGAGAAATAGTAACTTAGTAATCATACTAATTAAGATATAAATATAAACTCTTCTACATCATTTTGATGAGAGAAACACAATCCTATAAGAACATGATCCTGTGCTACAAAGGAGCCTGGTTTAAATTTGAAAGAGTAAGGGAAATGTCCCTGAGGAAGCAATACTGAACTGAAATATAAAGGATAAGTTAATAGAAAAGTCTGCAGTTAAGGGAAGAGAATGATCTAATTATCCGGACTTGCATGTGCAAAGGCCCTGGGCAAACAGGAGGAGTACAACAAGTTCCAGATATTTGTTCTCACCACTTCTATTCAACATTGTAGTGGAGGTGTTAGCCAGTGCAATGAGTCAATGAGACAAGAAAAATAAATAAAAGGCATACAGATTGGAAAAGAAAAAATAGAACTGTCTTTATTCACAAATGAAATGATATTTTATGCAGAAAATCCCAAAGAACTACCAAAAAAAGAGCCAGTAGAACTAGTAAGAGAATTCAGCAAGGTTACAGGATAAATGATCAATATACAAAAATTGATTTTATTTCTACATATTCACAATGACAATTAGAAATTAAAGTTGAAAACATCATTTATAACCAGATTTAAAACATAAAATACTTTCCAATCTAATGAAATATGTGTAATATTTAATACATGTATTCTTAAATACAAAATATGTGTATACTTAAAACCACAAGCTAAGAGAAATTAAAGATCTATATGAATGGAGAGATACCAAGTTCACAGATTGGAAGACTCAAATATTGTTAAGATACTAATGCTCTCTCTGAAGTGATCTATACATGGAATGCAGTCCCAATCAAAATTATAGCAAGTATCTACTTAGAAACTGACAAGGTGATTCTAAAAATTTATACAAAAAAAGAAAAGGGCCTAGA